GGGCTATCCCTCTCACTATTCAATACTTCTTGCAACTTCCAAGATATGCCTATTTTTTCTCTCAGCAACCCCATTTTGTTGAGGTGTATGGGACAAGTATTCTGATGAACAACTCCATACTCAAAAAAATATGAATTCAGGTGTTTAGTGAAATACTTTTGGGCATTACTAGATTTAAAAATTTTGATTCTAACTTCAAATTGAGTGAGGACCATTTGATGAAAAGCACGAGTTAAGGTGGGAACCTAATCTCGAGAACGCATAAGATAAACCCATGAGAAGCGGAGTAATCATCAACAAACAATAATAAAAACTTATACCCCCCATAACAAGAATATGATATGGCCCCCACACAATAGTATGCACAATTCCAAAAGAAGTATTGTTTCTTTTATTACTCAAAAAATAGGAGGATCTACAATGTTTTGCAAGCTCACAGCTCTCACACTTCAAAAAAGACATTTGAACTGACTTAAACAAAGCAGGAAACAAGTTTTTTAAAGACCCAAAAGATAAATGACCCAAATGATTATGTCAAAGTATAATTTGACTCACAGACTGAGAAACAAAAGACTTCGCAACTCCTTTATCACTTCCAGGTGGGTGCTCGAGCAGGTAGATTCCATTGATCTCATGGTCAGTCCCAATCACCTTCCTTGTCACCAAATCCTAGAAAATACAATGGTCAAGAAAAAAGGTTATTGAGCAAGTCTAGCTTCTTGTAAGACTATTGACTAAAAGTAAATTAATGCTAAACTTAGGTACATGCAAAACCGAGGACAAGGTAATGGCATCAGAGACTCTGATGTTTCCCTTGCCAGAATAGGAACAAGGGAGCCATTGGCTATGGATACTTTATTTCTGCCTGAAGACAGATTGTATGAAGTGAATAATGAAGACAAGCTTGTCATATGATCTGATGCACCACAGTCTATAATCCAAGTAGGGTTAGTATTACCTGGAATAGAGGCATGAAAAACAGTGGCTCTTGTACTTGAGTGGGCAAAAGCCGATGTGGAGGAAGGAGGTGTAGTGGTAGCAGAGATAGGCTGAGATGATCCTACAAGTCCAACTTCAATGTACAACTAAGTCAAAGTTGCCCTGGCTGCAACTAAGGCCTCCAAAGAAGCAAACTGAGGTCCCAGAAGGGAAGAACCATCTAATGTAATAGCTGCATTTGCATTTCCCTTCTTATTCCTGAGTCTTTCTGGTACAAGAGTGGGATGAAGCTTCCAACAAGTGTCTTTTGTGTGCCTAGGTTTTTTGCAATACTCACAAAACACACCTTTCTTTCCTTCATTCTTCATCTCTTTCTCCCTCTCACCATTATACTTGTGTCTTGTAGCTGGCTAATGCTACCTACATTTGAGAATTTTGTAGCATAACCTTCCTCCTACTCTCTTCACTATACACTGGGGAGTAGGCTTGAGACAAGGTAACATTTTCCCTAGTGAAAAGTTGTTGTCTAACGATGTCAAAATTAGAATTCAGACCCACAAGAAACTCAAAAACTCTATTTCTCTCAACAACTAATTATAAGTTGTTGCATCCTTATTACTCACCCACTCAATTGTTTCAAGGTGATCTATCTCATGCCCTATGGATTTCAGAGTAGAGAAATAAATTGATACAGGTTTCTCCCCCTGCTTCAAATTGTTCACTTCAGTTATCAACTCATAAGCCCTAGCCACATCAAGTGGTTATGAGTAAGTCTCTTTCATATTATCCCAAATATCCTTGGTTGTCTTTGCCCAAAGGTAATTTCTGCTAATATGGAACTGCATCGAGTTGCCCAACCATGTCATCACAAGATAATTTTCTTGAATCCATTTTGCACAGGAAGGGTCTTCCTTGGCTGGTTCCTTAGTGTCTCCAGTCGCATAGCCTAACTTTCCCCTTCCTCCAATGGCCATCATGGTAGATTGAGCCCACTTCAAATAGTTTGAACCATCAAACCTGATTGTGGTAATCTGAAAAGGGTTGTTACCAATCATACTAACAGCCCTTTCAGCACCTTCTCCAGCAGGTTTCTGTTCACTCCCAAAGAACTCCATACTGAGCTCAACACAGAAAAGAAAAAGAGCATACTTGGCTCCCCTTCCGAATAGAAAAAAAAGAACAAAAACTGAGAATAGGGACAACAATCCAGTAGATTTCAAAAAGAGCAGCCACTCCTCACAGAGATTTCAAAAACCCTACCTCCTGTTACAAAACTTCAGGAGAGTTGAAAAAACTACCCAGAAACTTTTGGGCGGCACCTTCAATATGAGATTTGAACCCTAAATCTCACCTCAAATTAAGTTTTGCTCTGATTCTTCTGACTGCTGGGCAATCTCCAAGAACAGAAGTGTCCTGGGCAAGCTTCGAACTCCATCAATCTCCAAGAATCAGGTCACGAAGAGAACTAAATCTCCAGCCGTATTAAAATCTCATGTATCCGGCTGGGAAGAGCTCACATGAGATTCACGAGCAGAACTAAACCTGCTCTAATACCAACTTGAAGTTACTGCTGTTAGCAGAACTTTTAGGTTGAAAAAACAACCCAGAAATCAAAAGAGAAGAAGAGAAAAGAAAAGAGAAGAAAATAGAAGAAGAATGGGAGAGGAATGGGGCAGAATATTCTATAACTGCCGCCCTAAGCAGTATTATTTATATGTGTTTAACATAAAATTAGGTAAAAGGATAAAAATGCCCTGCTACCTATAACAGTACAAGAAAGCAAGCATAAAGCAAAAACTAAGCAACAAAAAACTGAATTTATGGGACCACAAGTAAATATATCAGGTCTGATCCACTGTATCACTGCAGCTAGAACAGAGACCCAAACAATGCTAGCCGGATTTGAGAGACCTTGAGCTTCCCAACCCCAAAGAAGGTCCAGCACTGTGCTAGGCATTACCCATCATCCTCAGTGCTGAAATATAATACCACCAGAGACAGGAGGTGAAAGAGCAATGGGGTGATTTATGTCCTCCAAAGCCTGCCCACACAACAAACAAATCCGGTCAGGGACCTGCACCCCTCTTCTAGACAGATTTACTCTAGTTAAACATCTATCCAGGGTTGCTGCCCACACCAAAGCATAAACTTTTTGAGGGAGAAATAGGATTTCAAATTCTAGAAGCTGGTGCTGCAACAAGGTTTCTCTCTGAAGGCTTGAGAGCAAAAGAGTTGACTGAAAAAAGTCCATCAGAATTCCAGTTCCAGCTCCAACGGTCTTCACTACTTGTGTACACAACCTGAACTGAAACAAGCTCGAGTATCTCAGCAAGTTTAACATCTCCCAGTCCTGAAAATTCCTTCAAAATGATACCAGATTACTGTCCTACCATTAGCCACATAGCAGTCTGCCACAGCTGCATCTTGGTTATCAGAAATCTGAAACAACTGTGGAAATAACTCTGAAAGAGGGCAGTTTCTACACCAAGGGTCTTTCCAAAAAACCAGCCTACCACCATTACCCAACTTAGGGCTGAGACTTCTGCTGAAACTTGGAAGAATGTCCATAATTTTTCTGCAGATTTGAGTAGCCTAAAGAGGAAAACAAGGAAATAGTTGTCCAATCTCCTCTGTCCATGCCATACTTAGCAGCAATTAAATCTCTCCACCACTTCCTCTTTCCACCCCAAACCTCCAAATCTATTTTCTGAGCAGAGCAGTGTTAAATACCTTCAACCTCCTAATCCCCAGCCCTCCTTGATCCAATGGAGCACGAATCTGATCCCAATTAACTAAATGGATCTTTTTTCCTCCTCCCAACCCTTCCACAGAAAATCCCTCTGCAAATTTTCTATTTTTTGAGCCACTTTCACCAGAATCGGATAGAGAGGGTGTTCTTTAAAAGAGTGATCCTTCCACCCAGGGACAAGTATTTAGCTTTCCATGAAGCAAGTTTCTTTTCTAGACGCTCCAGAACAGGATCCCAAATCAGAGTTGAGGTGCATTTAGCCCCCAGAGGGAGGCCTAGGTACTTAGTTGGCAAATAACCCACTTGGCATGCGAGAACCTCAGCCAAAACATCAATGTTCTCCACATTTCCCAGAAAAGGAAGAAATTTAGGTTTTAAAATAGAAAACGTGGTAGGAGAACAATGACCCAATTGAGTAAACTGGGATTGCAATGCACAATGAATTAATACACAACAAAGAAACCTTAGGAGCAGGGCAAAAGCAAGTAGCAAACACCAAAATAAGCTAACAATGTTTGGAAAAAATGTAATGAGAAAGGAACCGTTTTGAAGGAAGAGGGGTTTAATCAGGTAAAGGCCTAAAGGATAATCTCCTCAATCTCAAAAACAATGAAACAGAACCACAACTATTACAATCCTTTAAAAAAGTTAATGGGTTACACCTAAAAGGAATATTTCACATCACCATGCCCTTTTCAGTAATTCTCCCAATTTATTTGATGTGAAGGATTAATAGCTTTTGATTGCCAATCCTCTCTGGTTCAATCTCATGCTTGGGGTGGGGATGATCCTGCAGCGGCAGTATCATAGATCATCAACCAATGAGTCATGCAATGGGCTCAATCCCACTATTAACCTCCCCATGTCCCTTTGCTCAATAGCATAATAACGTGAACACCGGCAGTCTAATATCAAGTATATTGAATTCATAAAAAGCCGAGAGACATCAAAATAATAAATTAAATAAAAATACAACGGTGAATTCAAAGTTATAACCTGCTTTATCTGCACTCCAAAGGAAAAACACAAAAAAAGAAGATACATTAATTGTGCAAATTTGAAATTAAGCAGTTAAGTTATACTTCTAGACGTTCTGTAAATATCAACCCCGATTATGAATCAATAATATCAACCAAAGAAAAGCAAATACAAAATGGAAGAGTCAAAAATCCAATCTTTCTTGCCATCTATGTTTCAGCTACATTGTCCATTAACTTTCTTTCCATTGTAAGTAGAAAACTAAAAGGAAGCAGCAGAAAATCTCCCCCCCCNCCCCCCGCCCCTCCCAGAAAAAAAGGATTCAGAGGGTTACCAGCGAGAAGTGTTCCGCGGCGATTAAAGGCGATACATTTCATGACTCCATGTTGCAGGAACTCTTCTATCACTTCTGGAAAATCTCCCTGCAAAGGATCTTCACAGACTCACAAAATGCATGAGTCCTTACAGAAAGAGTTGAAAACAAGAGTTACAAGACTGAGGAAAAAGGAAGAAAAAAATCCGAGAAAGCTCACCAATTATTGAGACGTTCATGATGAAGAAGGAATTTCCGCCGCACGGGTTCTAGAAAATCACAGAGTTCTTTGCTTCATGTCTACGAAATCCATATGCCCTAAGAAAAAATTTTAACTTATGTAAGCAACAGAAGCTTCAAATCCTCGGAGGTCTAGCGTTTGGAGGGAATAGATGAATTCGTTCGCACGGTAATAAAAAGTGAGATTTCCTCTTTTTAAGTGGATACTGCAAAAGAGTGAAGATCGACGATATTTGCTCGGAAAGACAGAATCCTAGTCAAGCGCAACCCTAGCCATTACCCGACCCTGTCCCCAGACCCCAGTTTTCGGTGCCGAATCGTGAGTGGGGCAATCGAGATTCCTTCTCCTTCAGCCCTGCCAAATTTGAACTACGCATTAAACATGGAGTTCTAAGTCCTAAGAGGAGTAGATTTATCCGAATGTCTTGGGGCAATAGCATCGTTCCTATGCAATTTCCTTCGAAAAAGAGCGTTGACCCGATGTGACCCATATATAAATTAATCAAATTCTTTCACAGTTTCGCAACAACATCAGCAATTCAGTCATCCGCACGGACATCCTGATTGGGCTTTCCACGTGGCAAAAAAATTTCCTTCGGCTTCGTGTTCCATTTATCTCCATCGTCATCGTGTTCCATGGGTACTACCACTGAGAGCCTCCATCTATGGAATATGGACGCCCAAGCGTTGGCCATCTCCTTGAGGCTGGAAGTATTCATTCTCTTCCTGTTTCAGAGAAGCGTTTATCAAGTTAAATAGGGGTTGATTTGAAAATTGAAATGTCTTAAGCAACAAATTTTACCACCGGACAGAAAGCTATGGGATAATAGAAGATCATATGCAATGGGAGACTTGCACATCCTATAAGGATATACAGTGTACTCTTAACAGCCTTTAACTATACAAATCTCTGAGAGAAATCCAACGATTTTAACCTAATAAGGGGTGGAATTGTGGTTTATGGTTAAACTCAGAAGTCAGAACCATACGTATTAAATGGGGTTTGTCTGCTCCAACTCCAAGGGTATGATGCTTTTGGAGGCTTTCAAACGAAAAAGAGCTTTTCTGTGAAAATAAAATTAAGAAGACGCCATGGGCTCATGGTCATTCATTGTCATTCACTGCCTGGGAAATCATATAATGTCATTGAGTCTGTGCTAACAACACCTACATGCACTAGCACTCCCTGCTCGAGAGTGGTGCATTTCTAGCTCCTAACCAATTCTTCTGACAGTAAACCTCAGAAACACTATGCCCTCAACGTGCTTGGAGGGCTCGTTTTCACCTCATAAATATTCCCCTTGTTAATCTCTGACGGAGCAAAATTTGCCAATATTCTTTTGTATGTATCAAAGATATGAAGGAAAATATGATGATCTCCAAGCTCAGATCAAAGTGTAGCCAGTATAAAGACAGTAATCCAACAATGCAGCAGCTTCAGTAAGCTTGTTAATGGGCAAATGCCAAATGGAATGGAACAGTTCATCTATGCCCGGTAGTGAAGTCCAGACGCCAATCGTATTCAGATGAATTTTGATGGATCCATCAAGAAATCAGTTTCCATAGCGCGCGTTTGGCCTATAATATTACCAAGTGTCGGTCTTTATAGAGGTTGGAACGGATATGAAATGGGTCAGACTCGCAGATCTAAAGTGAATAACAGTTGAGCAATATGGAAAGGGGCAAACCACCGCAACTTGATTCTAGTAATAATCACTTCAGTTTTGATTCAGTTTGACGGAGCAAAGGCTGTGTTTATTTGCAATGCAATTCTGAACCGGATATGAATTCTGCACCCAGGTCAGTTTTGCATTCATTTGTTTGTGACTATAATTTGTACTTTTTTATCTCATTTAATTCATTAGCATTGCAAATTTTGCATCTAAAAAAATGATGCAAAAGTTGCACAACCAATTCCTCTTACCTTAATTCTCTCATAAAGTGGAATCACTTTCTGATGCGCGTGAGTTCCTCCTCTTCTATAGTCTTCTCTCAAGTCTCAAGTCTCCGTTTTGGATTGAAGCCTCTACATTACAATTCATAACTGCAATGGACTGAGCGACCTAGCGTCTGTATCATCTTCTTTATGACTAAATGCATTCAAGTTGGGCGTCGACTTAGTGTCTGATTTAGCATCTGTAACATCTTCCTTCAGCGGTAAGCTTCTCCACCAACTCTTCCCTCCACCCATGCATTCCCTTCCCCGAACCTGAGTTTCACTCCACCCTCTAACATCTTCTATTACAAACTCCTTACCCCCTCCATTTGTCTTCTACCCAGCATCAATGTTATCCCCTTCCATTTGTCTTCTAACTTAAAAAGAATTCCCTGTTCCTTCTAGTCTCTCTGTTTCCCCGTACCGTTTCTTGAACCCAGGTCCCCACAGGGATCCCATTGGGGCGTGGATACAACCATCTTCTTCACGTGAGGACTTGCTTTTACTGAGGATGACATCAAAAGGTAAAGAAGTCGCCAACATGCCAATTATTGCACAGGACACTGAGTATATAGAATCCATATTTGCACATGCAGATAATGTAGGGGTAGATGAACAACTCCCCAGCTTTGAACCTATCGAAGGCGGAGCATGTTATTGGGTTGACATTAAAAGGACGCATCTTCCCCCGTCAACAAGTTAATGAAGAGATTCTGGCCAACTATGTTCGTCGTTTACAGTGGACAACATTAGGAGCAGTGACCATTCGTTTCTTGGAAGGAGGCAGCCTTACAACGACTGTCTTATTGCATTAGAGGGAGGGCCTTGATTTTTTCGTTCGAGATGGATTCTCCTAGAAGAATGGAGCGATTCACATATAGGAACTGTTGAAAAGGTCTGGACCCAGAGGGTCTGGCTACAAGTCCATATGATTCCCAGAGATACGGTTGAAGATGGTAGGGTTTGTTTTCTTGCTAGCGCAGTGGGTACCATCGTCCCAAACCAAGAAAAAATTCCCACTGGCTAGCTACTGAGAGGCTTATACGTACACAAAAAAAAATCATCATCGACCTTCGTAAACCTCTCCTCACAGGTCATTTTATCTTCTATCACGGTAAGCCAGTCTGGCTCCATTTTTGTTACGAGCAGCTCCCCAGGATCTATGCCAACTGCGGCCTAATAGGACATATTTGGAGTAACTACAAACGGTTAGACCATTCTATATCAGACTACAAGAGTTTTCTTGAAGGCCGTTCAATAGATTATCCTGGAGAATGGCTCAGAACTGAATTTCGGACTGAAAGCCAATTCAACTTGCCAGTATACTCTGCAGCCAGATCGAACTCTCCCGGAGTCTGCAAAGTTTGCCACAGTGAACAAGGTTCAAATGAAGATTTCGAGGACAGTTCCGGTGGCCGTAAGTGTCATTGTGTCAAGCGTAATTGCAATTTGCTAGTAGTAGTTTCCAGCAGATCGCCATCGCTAATGCAGCCGGATTTCGGTGAAGGGCAACAGTGTCAGAACACTAAATCATTCACAGCAGACACTTGGCAAGTTAGAACTTACTAGAGCCTTGCATGATAGCCACCCTTGCAAACAAAAGATGCCACGTTCTACTCATGCATGAACACCACCATCATTAGAATAGCTCGACAGGTATGTTGCATGCACAACAGCCGCACATTCTCTGCTAGGATGGCGCGAAACCAGAAATCACTGCCCACTATTTCACCAAAATTGGTGATTTGGGAACCATTGATCTTCTCATAGGAAAAAGAAGACGTGGCATACCCAAAAGTTATCATTTGGATTTGCCAACTAACACTCTTTGGGCGGTTCGAAATGGACAGGTTTCCGACTTCTTTACCGGGCAAGTTCTACCTCCTGAGATGTTGTTAGCCAAAACCACGATGACACTTCTAGTTCCAGCTCAACCTCAGCCACATTGCTCAACACCTATAGTCCCACAAAGAGAAAGCCATTCATTAAAACTAGGCTTATTGAGCACAACCGATGTTGTTGTATCCGTGTCCCCGATGTCTCATTGTGGCGATGACCAGTTCATCACCGACAATTACATCAACCTACCATTGTTAACCCAACTCCCTTGCTCCAACAAGTACGCCTCACTTCCCTTCTTATTATTTACACAACATTATTCTTAATCTTAACTCTCTTAGTATTATTGTTTAGTATTATGAAGTTCATTTCCTGGAACACTAGAGGAGCCAGTGATAACAAAAAAATCCACAAGCTAAAAAAGCTAGTCAAACAAGAAAAGCCGGATTTGTTGTTTCTAATGGAGACCAAACTAGGTGGGCAAAAAATTTCTTCCTTAGGGAAGAAACTAAAATTTAATAACTTTGTTTTCCATGAAGCTTCAAGGTTCTCTGGTGGTCTCCTCTGTGGTTGGCTGGATTCAATTTCAGTTGACATCCTTCATGTTAATACCCATTTGATCTATCTACAACTCTCGAACCACCCACCCAACAATTCTTGGCAATTATTACTTTTCTATGGCCATCCTACCTGCCATCTTCACAAAGAGATCTAGCTTCACCTCACCCAATCACAAGAGCTCACTAACTTACCTTGGCTCCTCATAGGAGATATCAACGATGTATAAAAAATGGATGATCACAAATCCTTCATAAATAAACCTTACCTCTCAAAACACTTACACAACTTTATAAACAAATTTGACCTAATTGACTTCAATTTGTTGGTCCTCCATTCACCTGGTCAAATGGACAAAAGAGAACATCAAAAGTGCTTGAAAGGTTGGATGAGGCCCTAGCTACCCCCGCATGGTGTCAATTATTTCCAAATACCATGTTGAATCATTTCCCAATAACCACCTCAGATCATAGAGCTATTGCCTTAAACACCTCACCATCTACCCCACGAAGGAAACCACAATATCATTTTCTACCCTTCTGGCTAGAACACCCGCTTGTAAGCAAATTATCTCCGACTCCTGGAATCAACCCATTCATGGCTCCCCTGCTCATCAAGTCATTAGCAAGCTGAAAACTTGCAAAATTGCCCTCAAACAATGGAATAAAAGTCATTTTGGCTAAGTTCAGGATCACGTCCGAAACATAGCCGAACAAATCTCAGCCATACACATGAGAGTCCTAAATGATGCAGAAAAAGAGCAGCTTCAGTCACTTTTAAAGAAATATAACTATTGTCTAGGTGACAGAAACACTAAATTCTGGCAAATTTCAAAAATACCAAGGACAATATCGATTGGTTGAAATGTGATGATGGATCTTGGACCTCAAACCTCAAGTTGTACACATATAATTCAATTATTTAAATGTACACTTTTAGAGGTGGGAGGGCAGCAAGAAGATTTTGACCCTGAACTACTGAACAACATTCCCCTTCCCACCCTTTCTGTACATCATCAGGACTCCCTTTTGGCTCCCCCTACTCTCGAAGAGTTAACTGGTGTGGTCAAGCAATTTAACCCTTATAAAGCTCCTAGGCCTGATGGTTTCACCCCTCTCTTCTATCAACATTACTGGGATTTGATTGGCCAGGACATTTACACAGTTGTACTCAAATTCTTTAATACAAAATCCTTGCCAAAAGAAATAAATAATACCAATTTGGTTTTTGTTCCCAAGAATAATAAACCAATAGACACATCAAGTTATCGTCCCATCAGCTTGTGTAATGTCCTCTACAAGATTATAACTAAGTGGATGGTAGCAAGACC